GTCGTCTGTCGGATTGTTTCGAATGCTTGTTTGACAGTCAGACCCGATTTGTTTTTCAAGGGAAAGACCCAAGCGTATCTCGTGTATATGTCGATCACCGTCAAACAATACTTGTACCCTCTCTCGACTGGCATGTTGATTAAATCGGCTGACCAAATTTCATCTTTATCAAAAACTTTGACTTTGAGGTAATGTTTGTTTTTTCGAAATTCTTTGTGAATCTCGTCTGCTATGCCCATACCCAATTTCAATTTTGCCTTCAAGAGTTTTATGATAAGAGCCCTCTGTAATTTCTCTTTGAAAGTGGGATTGGGAATATTTTCGAGTTCGTCTATCATTTGTTTGTCTGCTTGGTGTCTGAATGTTACGTCTTTATTTCTGTACAGTATGTCGTGTTTGAGCGCTGCTGCGTCAACTCTATTAACGGGTTCTTCCCCTGGTTTGGGATTATCATTTTCGTCTAAACGCAGATCTAATCTCGTGCCTAGACCTGTATAATTGTGGCCTGGGAGATGTTTTTCTCCGGGATATTTTGCCCATGGGAATCCAGGAAGAGAACCCAATGACTTTTGAATGTCTCCTGCACCGAAATACGTTTTAGGGCTTTGTGCAATTATCATTGACATTTTTTATCCAATGATTTTAAAACCATTGCCTTTTTTGTTTTCTAATCTTTTATTTCGCATTTCTCTTATATGCTCCTGAGGAAATGAGGGATTTGTTGTTTGAGACAAAATTGGCCACTTTGGGGATGAGAGATGTTAGCGCAGAGAAGAAACCGTCTTCTTCGAATTTTTTTTGTTCGTGTTTTAAAATTAAAGACATTTTTAATGCGGTTATTTTTTACTGTATTATTATTAGTGATTGTTGTCTGTGTAATTTATATGGAGTCTGTTATAATACAGTTTGGAAGGAGTCTGTTATAATACAGTTTGGGGAGTCTATTATAATACATTTTAACAGTTGTGTCTTTTCGGATATGACGCATTGAAAAAGCTGCGCATGCGCAGAAGTGAAATGCGTCATATCCGAAAAGACATATACCTTCCATCTCAAAAACCGGATCAAACTGGATGCGCTATATCAGAAAACACATATACTACTAATAACTATTATAGCAAAAATGTAAGTTTCCTATAGGCCACATAGAGTGAAAATGCCAAGACTTAACTTTGCCAAATGGGGTTATTTTGCCCAAGTGTTGGGTCTTTTCCTGCTCGGTAGACCGTCAGCACTTGGAAAAACACACCAAAGCAAAGGAAAAACGATTACAGCAAATGTGCAAGTTTCCTATAGGACACAAAAAGCGAAAATGCGAAGACCTAACTTTGCCAAATGGGGTTATTTTTCCCAAGTGTTGGGTCTTTTCCTGCTCGGTAGACCGTCAGCACTTGGAAAAACACACCAAAACAAAGGAAAAACGTTTACAGCAAAAATGCAAGTTTCCTATAGGACACATAGAGCGAAAATGCCAAAAGCTAACTTTGCCAAATGGGGTTATTTTGCCCAAGTGTTGGGTCTTTTCCTGCTCGGTAGACCGTCAGCACTTGGAAAACACACCAAAGCAAAGGAAAAACAATTACAGCAAAAATGCAAGTTTCCTATAGGACACATAGAGCGAAAATGCCAAGACCTAACTTTGCCAGATTGATTTATTTTGCCCAAGCATTGGGTCTTTTCTTGCTCGGTAGACCGCCGGTAGTTGGAAAAATACACCAAAGCAAAGGAAAAAACTATTACAGCAAAAATGCAAGTTCCATAAAGGACACATAGAGCAAAAATGCCAAGACCTAACTTTGACAAATGGAGTTATTTTGCCCAAGTGTTGGGTCTTTTTCTGCTCAGTAGACCGCCAACACTTAAAAGAACACAACAAAGCAAAGGAAAAACGATTACAGCGAAAATGCAAAGACCTAAGTTTGCCAAATGGGGTTATTTTGCCCAAGTGTTGGGTCTTTTCCTGCTCGGTAGACTGTCAACACTTGGATTAACTCACCAAAGCAAAGGAAAAACTATTACAGCAAAAATGCAAGTTTTCCTATAGGACACATAGAGCAAAAATGCCAAGACCTAACTTTGCCAAATGGAGTTATTTAGCCCAAGTGTTGGGTCTTTTTCTGCTGGATAGACCGTCAGTCAGCACTTCAAAAAACACACCAAAGCAAAGGAAAAACGATTACAGCAAATATGCAAGTTTCCTAAATGAAGGTTCCTATAGGCCACATCGAGCGAAAATGCCCAGACCTAACTTTGTCAAATGGAGTTATTTTGCTCAAGTGTTGGGTCTTTTCCTGCTCGGTAGACCGTCAGCACTTGGGAAAACACACCAAACCAAAGGAAAAACGATTACAGCAAAAATGCAAGTTTCCTTTACGACACATACAGCGAAAATGCCAAGACCTAACTTTGCCAAATGGAGTTATTTTGCCCAAGTTTTAGGTCTTTTCCTGCTCGGTAAACCGTCAGCACTTGGAAAACACACCAAAGCAAAGGATAAACGATTATTACAGCAAAAATGCAAGTTTCCAACAGGACACATAGAGCGAAAATGCCAAGACCTAAGTTTGCCAAATGGGGATATCTTGCCCATGTGTTGGGTCTTTTGCAGCTCAGTAGAACGTCAGCACTTAAAAAAAAAACACACCAAAGTAAAGGTAAAACGATTACAGCAAAAATGCAAGTTTTCTATAGGACACATAGAGCGAAAATGCCAAGACCTAACTTTGCCAAATTGAGTTATTTTGCCCAAGTGTTGGGTCTTTTCCTGATCGGTAGTCCGTCAGCACTTGGAAAAACACACCAAAGCAAAGGAAAAACGATTACAGCAAAAATGCAAGTTCCATATAGGACACATAGAGCGAAAATGCCAAGACCTGAGTTTGCCAAATGGGGTTATTTTGCCCAAGTGTTGGGGTCTTTTCCTGCTCCGTAGACCGTCAGCACTTAGATCAACTCACCAAAGCAAAGGAAAAACGATTACAGCAAAAATGCAAGTTCCATATAGGACACATAGAGTGAAAATGCCAAGATCTAACTTTGCAAAATGCGGTTATTTTGCCCAAGTCTTGGGTATTTTCCTGCTCTATAGACCGTCAGCACTTGGAAAAACACACCAAAGTAAAGGAAAAACTATTACAGAAAAAATGCAAGTTTTCCTATAGGACAAATAGAGCAAAAATGCAAGTTTTCCTATAGGACACATAGAGCAAAAATGCCAAGAACTAACTTTGCCAAATGGAGTTATTTTGCCCAAGTTGTGGGTCTTTTCCTGCTCGATAGACAGTCAGCACTTCTAAAAACACACCAAAGCAAAGCAAAAACTCTTATAGCAAAAATGCAAGTTTCCTTTAGGCCACATAGTCCGAAAATGCCAAGACCTAACTTTGCCAAATGGAGATATTTTGCCCAAGTGTTGGTTCTTTTCCTGCTCCGTAGACCGTCAGCACTTGGAAAAACACACGAAAGCAAAGGAAAAACGATTACAGCAAAAATGCAAGTTTCCTATAGGCCACAAAGACCGAAAATGCCAAGACCTAACTTTGCCAAATGGGGTTATTTTGCTCAAGTGTTGGGTCTTTTCCTGCTCGGTAGACCGTCAGCACTTGGATAAACTCACCAAAGGAAAAACTATTACAGCAAAAATGCAAGTTTACCCATAGGACACATAGAGCAAAAATGCCAAGACCTAACTTTGCCAAATGGAGTTATTTTGCCCAAGTCTTGGGTCTTTTCCTGCTCGATAGATCGTCAACACTTGGAAAACACACCAAAGCAAAGGAAAAACGATTATTACAGCAAAAATGCAAGTTTCCTACAGGACACATAGAGCGAAAATGCCAAGACCT